AGTGTCAGCAGTCATTAAATTGAGAGGGCGCGTCGGATTGATACGGCACGCATAGACAAAGATCTCCAGCCATTTGAACAGAATGTTGGGGTAAGCGGTGTTCGCGAGCGCCTATGAAGGCCGGCACGGCGCACACCGGGTGGTCAGAACCACGCCCGACCGCCTTTGTCTCCCCACTAGCTTCGAGGAATCGTCACTGGTGGCGACAATCAAACTCGGGTCACCGGGTTCGGAGCGCGGCGCGCTAACTCGCTACACTACGGCTACACACAGACAAAGACATATATACGCAAACGCAAATACACACGTATAGAGGCAGGAACACACAATTCTAAACACAAACGTCCATGATAAACACAAACACGCATCAACACACACACAGATAGAATCATATAAATACAAACACACACAGATACACGTAAAAACGTACACGCATACAAAAACAAATGAGGATATATGGACATAAATACAGATCCACACATATACATAAATACACACAACTACAAAGATCCCCCGTATAGACACAGATTGTTGGGTCAATACACAAATACGCGCGTACGCCTATTGATACACTGTAAGCCCAAATATGCACCAACGCACAAACAAAAACAAAGATCCCCCGTGTAGCCTGAACAGACTGTTGGGGCAAGTGCTGTTAGCGAGCAGCACGCGATGGGGTGTGGGGTGGCAAGCACAACGACTGTCCGCCTTTGTCTCCCTCGTGGCGAGGTTTACACACCGCATCAGGTGCTCATTTGAGGCTGAGTAGATCTAGAAGACGCCCAGGACCCGGTTCAGATAATCGTCACTGGTGTTGGTCATGAGCGGGAATCGAACTTAGATCACCGGGTTCGTAGTGCACCGGATTAACCGTTACACTACCGTGCCAACATATATAACAACCGTCTTGCGCTACTAAGTGGCTGTTCTGTCACCGCAGTTGTGCCAGGCTAGGTGCACTTTGAGGCCATGTGGTCATGTCGAAGACTCGCTGATAGGTCACGGGACAGGCCCAGTTTTTATGCTCACGCAAAGACGTAACTACAAGAGGAATTGCCGACAAATACACAATTATACACAAATATGCACTCACCCATACAAATATTTTTAAAAACGTACGCAACACAAAATTACACACACACACAAATACACAAAAATAGAAGTATACACATATCCTTAAACAAACCACTCTAATGCGCGTATACATAAACATATATAAGGACAATGCTTCCCGATATAGCCTACATAGACTGTTGGGGCAAGTGCTGTTAGCGAGCACCTACAGACACATAAACGCGAACATATCAAAATATATACACATACATAAAATAAACACGCAACGACACGTGTAAACATAAAAATACGCACGAACACCAACACATACACAAATAATAAACAAACGCTGCACCAACATAGAACCACGTTTAGCAAGAGAGCAATGCATCTCAGCGGGCTGCGTGGCTGAAGCGATACACACCACGAGACACATACACACACGCCCCATGAAACACACACACACCACGACACACACACGCACACACCATGACACACACACGCCCCATGAAACACACACACACACACCATGAGACACACACACACACCCCATGACATATACACACACACACTACGAGACACACACACACCATGACACACACACACACACCACGAGACACACACACCATGAGACACACACACGCCCCACGAGACACACACACACGCACACCATGAGACACACACACCACGATACACACACACACACCACGACACACACACACACACACACCATGAGACACACACACACCACGAGACACACACACACCACGACACACACACACACCATGAGACACACACACACCACGAGACACACGCACCATGACACACACACACCACGAGACGCACACACACACCATGAGACACACACACACGCGCCACGATACACACACACACACACACCACGAGGCACACACACACACCACGAGACACACACACCATGAGACACACACACGCCCCACGAGACACACACACACGCACACCATGAGACACACACACCACGATACACACACACACACCACGAGACACACACACACACACCATGAGACACACACACACCACGAGACACACACACACCACGACACACACACACACCATGAGACACACACACACCACGAGACACACGCACCATGACACACACACACCACGAGACGCACACACACACCACGAGACACACACACGCGCCACGATACACACACACACACCACGAGACACACACACACACCACGAGACACACACACACGCGCCACGATACACACACACACACACCACGATACACACACACACTCCACGAGACACACACACACACACCATGAGACACACACACACCACGACACACACACACCATGAGACACACACACACCACGAGACACACGCACCATGACACACACACACCACGAGACGCACACACACACCACGAGACACACACACACGCGCCACGATACACACACACACACCACGATACACACACACACCACGAGACACACACACACACACCATGAGACACACACACACCACGAGACACACACACACCAAGATACACACACACACCATGAGACACACACACACCACGAGACACACGCACCATGACACACACACACCACGAGACGCACACACACACCACGAGACACACACACACGCGCCACGATACACACACACACACACCACGATACACACACACACACCACGAGACACACACACACACCATGAGACACACACACACCACGAGACACACGCACCATGACACACACACACACCACGAGACGCACACACGCACCACGAGACGCGCACGCACGGTTTAAAAACGTCCCACATTCGTGGATTAATGCCCAATTATTTCACTCAAAATATCCAGCCAAATCCATTGTTGTAATGTACTTATAAGTTGCCGCGTAAACGTTCCCCTGGCCCTTCATCAACCGACATCAACAAACCGTGGTGAAGTATGGTCAAAACACCCCCCCCCTCCTTCCCCAGACGCACCCCGCACTGCATGGAGGGGGGGGGGGAGGCACCCATCCAGCAGTGGATTGAAAATGGTACTGACTGCAAACTGTGTTTATTTAGCAGTGTTAATACAAAGAAAATAATGAGCCGAATATAATATATCGGTGTGTAACAGCGCACCTATTTGCGACGTTAGCGATGTTATATTTTAAAAAATAACTTTCATTTGCTTTTAAGTTGAGTGCAAACAAACAAATAACAATAACAGCCGTGTTGTTGGGCACTGGAGTCGCCGAAGTGTGATTTTTTTTCATGTTGTGAAATGTTCGCAATTTGAAAGTGCCATAAGCGACGACGTTCTTTGCGCCTGATGCCCCCCCCCCTCCCTCCCCCCCCCCGAACAAACGGTGGGCCGCTACGTTTTTAAAACGTGCCGCATATATAAATATAACATATCGACGCGAAAGATATCCTATGTGTTTTTGTTTGTTTGTTTGATCAAAGTGTCAAAGTCGCATTAGACTACCGCGACCCGCTGTCGTTAAGTAATTTAAACGTCCCCCGTACTTGACAACAACAACAACGTGACTTTACCGAAAGAACCAAGAATATGAATCCCTGCAGTCACGAAAGCTTTAAACCAAAATAAAACAACAACAGCAACAATAAAAATAAGCGCACTCTATCTCTGTAAACGAACCAAGCACGTTATAAGCACGCGCACGTAGCAGACAACCACGCCGCAAACATTCACATGCGTATGGACGCGCGGTCGTGCCATTGCGACATCGCACGATACACGCGTAGAGGTGAACGAATGAAGGGCCTTGGAGATCCAGGGTTTGATCAACAGATGTCGAACCGATCTGACTCTCGTATTTGTCATCGCGGTGGTGGTGGTGGTGATGATGGTGATTATCATTCCGTACGAGCCTTTCGATCTTAAATTTGGAGTGAGTTGAGCTATTGAAATATATCGCGCGCCGTTGAAAACTAGAGAGCGCCGGCTATCTTTCCAGATAAATAGATGTATTGATTAATTCGATATCTTGAACAGCCAGATTATATATATATATGGTTTTGTAGTCATTGTCGCGTCTCTGGGGATTGAACCACATAGGCCTGAGGGCTCAACCAACGCGGCACCCATCTCCCAAGGCAATCGATCGATCCCTTACTCACTCACTCCCACCTCTTCGCCCTCTTCACTCGCACTCACCCCTTCCTCAATCCCTCTTGTCCACCAACTCTCAATCTCTCTCGTCCACCAACTCTCAATCCCTCCGCACCCTTCACGGAGTCCTGTAAATGTGCTCAGCTCATGCGCGTGGCCCTCGGAAGATATTCATCGTTTCTTGCAACCCTGCACATACATGTGATTGATAATAATTCTAAGTATTAAGGCTATTATAGCCTGTGTGCATCTCTCATGAATTGTAGGTATGTGCTCAAGCTAATCACCATTGCTGTCGCAAGGCAATACACGCTTTGTATGTACTGTATACTGCACAATGGATGTGTATATGCCTTCAATACGCTTTGCGGTAAAGCGATCATAACCCAAGAATGTTTATTGTGTCACGCATTTAATTGTACGTTTTGTATCAGTCTATCACCACAGCCACCATCACCATAATTATCCATGATCAATCCACTGCTGGATGATGGCTCCGTCAATCACCACCACCATCGTTGGTCGCCCTGTGATGTGATAATCCACCTGGGGACTTGCAAACGAGCTTGCAATGTAAGTTTATATTTGACCCGAGTGAATTTGTATGTTTTACCAAACATGATTTGGTTGTCTGCGATTGGCCTGTGTAAGCCCCGCAATATTAATAAGCCGTACAATGTGCGCGCATGTGTGTGTGTGTGTGTTATGTGAGCGCGTGTGCATATATAAATGATGTACATATATATGCACAAACACAACTGTGCAGCAGAAATTTCACACAGCACATGCCAAAGCGTTGTGTTTTGTAGGTCCTTCGGTGGCAACGGTCAAACGCTAATAATTTAATTCAAAGTAGTAAATAATAATCGTAATAATACACGAGATGTAATCGTAATAGAACACACCGTGATTTATGAAATCATCATTTCAATACTCGTTCATTGTGCTGACTCAAATCGTAACAGTGCCATGTATGGTAGAAACACAGTACATGGAAATGTTTGCTGTGGTTAATCGTAAACTACAATAAAAAAAACAATGACGCATTTACCAATCACAACGACAGTGTGGGGGAGGTGGGTAAATGTACATAACCCAAAACAAAAGATTCCACGGGCGACTGCTTAAGTTTGTCTGGATTTTTTTGTTGTACTTTAATACAAACATACATCATGATCAGCCAATTTCATAGTACGCCTTCATCCCCCTCGTCCCCCCACCCGCAAAAACTCACCGTTATAAATAACAACAACAAATTAATCATCAATAATAATAAATCCTGAGCACAAACCATGGAAGAGGATAAACTTAACAAAAAGCAAACGTGAAGGAAAACAATCGTCGAGGAATGAAAGATACAAATTAGTAGTCGTATATCTATATTCATATATCTGTAAGTGTCATACGCACGCCGACTTGTATACATATACAAAAAACACTTGGAATGCCTTCGGGTCACGTGTGCTCATATAACGAACGGGTCTCTATACACAGGAGTGAAAGTTTACAGTAATTTACAGAACTTTACAAATGCCATGGGTCGTTCGAGGCGTTCCCTTTGTATATGTACACACAGCGATTCGTTTCAACCACTCCCCTATCGATCCCCTTCAAGTGTCGGAGATACATTGAAAGCATATTATACTAGCATCGTGGTTTTCTCAAATTTTTTATTTCGACTTAAATTTGAATTTACTGGGAGGGGGTGTACGATTCATCCCAATGTTTGCATCTGAATTTAATATCACAATTATTCTTGATTGGTTTTGACTCCTCTTTATAAAGTCTTTAATTTTACGTGCCCCCCCCCCCCACCACCTCACTGAGGCTTGCTTCTGAATTCCATCAACACGTCGTTCCGAATTCGCGACATCCGATTTGCGAAGAACATATAATTAGTGTTTAAATAACTTAAGACTCGCACGCAAAATGAGACGAATGTCAATACCGCCGGTGTTTATGGTTAAAACCACGAGCGCAGACTGTAAGAAGCCGCCGCTCTGTGTGCAACTGGAATCTCATCGTGCAAGAGGATGTGGAAAACACTCGCGCGCCCGCCGTTGCGAAACGTCGAGCGCAACAAAACGGTTGACGTGGAACGTGAATAAATAAATCCGCTAATAAATAAGTCCGACAATAAATAGCAACGCAAAAAATAAAATCCCGATAATAAATAAGTAGCAAATTTATCAATGAACAACCAAAGCGTCTTGCCTAATGACGAGCGCAGAGGCTCTACTTTGTTGGATGAGACAGTCATGAGAATTGTAACAAAAAAAAAAACCCAGACATATACAGCTAAGCGTGTTAAAGTGTTGTCTTGCTAAGTGTGAACCGTCGCGGGAGGTTGTTGTTGTTGTTGTTTATATCCCCCAGTTAGTGCCCTAGAAACAATTCGCAGTGGGGGGAGGAGGGGAGGGGGGGCCTCCGTTTCCCTCGTTGTGTTCGCCGAAACGAAGCAACTTCTCTCTCTACCCGATGGCCGTCAAACTGCCCCCTCGTCCGAATTTCCCAGCGCCGTCCGTTTCGAGTAAATCAGCCGTCGCGTGCGACTGGACCAGTCCGATCATCGCCGTCTCGTCGAGAGCTACGCGCGGCTCGTGGCATCGAAAAGGAACTCGTTCATGGTTTTTCAGAAGGCTGTTTAATGAGTTAACAAATGCAATATACGGTCAAAACTATAAGGGCCCTGCTCTATTAAGTTAAAAGTGTGGGTGGCTGACGAAAAATTATCAAATCGTAGGCGCTACGCCGCCACGTATATGAAAGTACAAACACTGCCATCGTCACTGATGATTCCCAAATGAAGCTGGACTTAATTCGCTCGGCTAGGTCTAAAATACTCTTCAAAGTGCGCGTATATCTGGTGGCCACGCCTGGTTCTCCTACTGCTCATTCCCGGGTGGTCGTGTGTTCTTACCGAAGAGGATTATCATAGCAAAGAAAAATTTGCAGCTTTCAAAACTCAAGTGTACATATACACGTATATTTATATGAATCACAATTAATTGATGCTTCAACTACACGCATTAACAACAAAAAAGTTGCGGAGCTAAAGCGAACGGCATTGACATGAATAGCAATAATAATAATAAGTCGTCGTTGTTATATTTAATCATATTACCAACCTAAAAATAAAACAATGACATGACGGTTCTGCACACTGGTGCAAAGGGTATACTGACTGCTAGAAGCTATCGTCAAATGCTAACTTATCGCAAACAATACACATAATCCGCTGGCATCAAATAAAACGCATATTACTGTCGAAAATTATTCGTTCAAACGGAAGCCGAATACTTGCTGTTGAATTGTATGCGCATGCCGGAAGGTCGTAATACACCCGTTTAACAATTGTATTCGTTTATTTATTTTCGTTTGTGGGAGGAAATTCCCAGCGCATTTTGCATACATCGCGGAGATAAGATTGCACTCACGGGAAGATGAGGCTTTCTTCTCTCTAATATAAGACGGAGCGATGCGTGTAAGATAAGATAGCATACACGGCAATTAGGTTGTCCATTAAAAGATAATAATAATAATGCTCATACACCAATAATTATAATAATAATGATAATTGCGAAACTATCCGGCGAACCGGCCATATGCAACGCCTTGCAACGGATTGCCACGGTTGTTAACTTTACGCGAATACGTTTGTTTCGTAGTTTAACAAGTGCGCCGCTTTGTCTTACACGTTACCGCCCGTCTTATACCGTGTCGCGTTTTTTTATTTGTTTGTTTTAATATAACCTGTAAATATCTTTCGTGTGCTGAGAAAATATATATTTTATATATATTTGTTTTGAAATGTCAGAAGAATGCCTTTTTTTAAATGCGTGTCTTTAGCGTTTTAACGAAGCGAAACAAAAAAAACGGCCTCGTTCATTTTCTTAGTTAGTCCATCGATTCGCCCCCCCCCCACTGTGTCCCTGTCGGATGCGACAATTGAAACGAGAAATTATTAAAGATGAAAAATAAATACGCAGAAGGACTTTAAGGTAGCTTGGGGAGAGACAGAGATAGTGTGGGGGGGGGGGGGAGAGGTGAGAAGATGGAGAAAAAGCGGAACTGGGATTCAAAAACAAGACAAATAAAACAACAAATAAATAACAGTAGTAGCAGGAGGAAGTAACAACACCGGCGACAAATTGCTCTCCGTCTCCCCCGTGAGAGTTCATAAAAGAATCGGACAGAGTGCGGGGTCAGTCCGCTCGAGGGAAGTTCGCGCTTCTCTTCGTTTTTGTTTTAGAAAGTGACGCGGATTTCTCTGTCCCGTGTTGTCTTCGCGACTCGACGGCGTCGGTTTTCGCGAGACGAGAGAGCGACCGAGCCGCAGAGCGCAGCATCTATCCGCTCTCTTCAACGATCAGCCCGAGTCTGTGGTCTCTGGGCCAAGCCCGCCTGACGCAGCCCGCCTGCCCGCCTGCCCGCTCAGCCGGCCGGGGAAGAGAGCTCAGTGAACGGCCGAGAATTTCATCCTTTTCTGTTTCTGCCGCTGGTTGCAGAACCACACGCGCACCACGTTCTTCTTGAGGTCCAGCTTCTCAGCGATGGCGGCGATCTTCTCGGACGAGGGTCGCGGCTGCACGGCGAAGTAGGCCTCCAGCGATCGCTTCTCGGGAGCGGCGATGGACGTGCGCTTGCGTTTCTTCTCGCCGCCGTTGAAGAGGTCTGGCTTGGTCTGCTTGTTCCGATGCGCCTTCTCCGCCTCCTCGAGCCACGCCTGCAGGATGGGCTTGAGCGCGATCATGTTGTTGTGCGACAGCGTGAGCGACTCGAAGCGGCAGATGGTGCTCTGGCTCAACGAGCCCACGCCCGGGATCTTGAGGTTGCCCAGCGCCGAGCCCACGTCGGCCTGCGTCACGCCCAGCTTGATGCGCCGCTGCTTGAAGCGCTCCGCGAACGCCTCCAGCTCGCGAGGGTCCGCCTCCGTGTCGGGCATGCCGGGCATGAGGCCGCCGTGGTGCGGGCCCAGGCCGTGCGGGTGGTGGTGCGGCATGCCCATCGCCTGATGCATGTGGTTCATGGTGGGCATGTGCGCGTGGTGGGCCGACGTGGGAACGACGGACGACTCGGGCCCCGTGAGCCCCGCGAGCGTCAGACTCGGCGAGATGTGGTCCAGCAGGTCGCTGTCCAGCCCCTGGTGGTGCTGATGGTGGTGGTGGTGCGGGTGATGGGGATTGTGCGGGTGGTGAGACCCGAGTGCTGACGGGTGCGGCAGCGGCATGGAGCTGGACGCCGAGGTGCAAGGCACGCTGTTCATCGTGTGGTACGTGGCGTCCGGCTTGAACGGGTGGTGCGGGTGATGGTGGTGGTGATGGTGGTGGTTTTTGCTCTGGTGGGAGACAATATCCACGGCGGCGAGCGCTTCTGCGCGCGCCAAGAAGCTCTCGTCCAAGCCCGCGAATATATTGCTCTGCAGTCATCAGCATCGTCGCATACGAACAACAACAACAAAAAAACAAGAAAAAAGAAAGCGTGCGCCGTCGGTCAGCAGTGGAATCTATGGGTCAGCGTGAGATCAGAGAAGACTTGGGTAGTAGCGGGGGAAGATGTAACAACAACAACAAAAACCCAACCCACATGGACCTTAAAGCCCTGAGCATAACATTATCATGATTAAATGAGCGCCCCATCGCCTTAAAGACTACATAAAGAAGTAACGACCACTGCTTTTTTTTGTACATGACACGCATTCAAGCTTAACGCGGGATGGCTAATTACTCGGCAAACATTAAAATGACGTAAAAAAAAAAACATTATATCGGCGCTTTGTCAACAAATCGCCACTGCCCCCTCCCCACCACCACCGCCACCACGAAGAACCAAAATAAAAGCTTACCGCTCCCCGAGGCTGCCTGTGTTTTGGGAGCGACAGGGGCACACGCGGGCACCCCGCGGGCGAAACGAAACGCGCCGAAACGCAACGCGCGCGCGCAATCCTCACCTGCGGCGTGGGCAGGCAAGCTCTCCGCATCGCCTCCGAGCTGGGGTGCAACGTGGAGTACTTGGGCTCGGCCATGGCCGCGTGCATGGCAAACGGCTGCTTGCTGTTCATGGACATCATCTTGACTTAGGCGCGCATGGACCGGGTTTTTTTGGATGGAATCGGGTCAGCGACGCTGACTGTTGCTCTTCGAGAGGCCGAGCGCCGGCGACGGTGGGTGAACGTCGTCTCTGCCCCGCGAACACGCGCGAGGTGATAGCTGCCTTCCCACCCCCTGCCCTATATATATTACTACTGCCTGCGAGAGCGAACGACCGGGAGAGTGACTGAGAGAGAGTGAGCGAGCGAGCGTGGGAGAGCGAGAGACAGTCGTGGAAGGCAGAGCGAGAGAGAGAGAGGGAGGGAGGGGGGATAAGACAGAGAGTGACACAGGGAGGGCTGGATGGTGGGATAGAGAACGAGCGACGCAAGAGAGATCGAGAACCAGAGAGAGAGAGAGAGGGGGGAGGGAGACAGCGAACGAATAGAGCGAGAGTTGAAGAGGAGGAGATGCGAGCTCACGCGTAAAGGAGAATCGTCGGTGCGGGCTAACACACTCGGGGCTGCTCGGACGTCAACCGCTGCGTAATGCGTGGTGGGTCCGGACGCGACTGAGCGCTCACTGTTGCTCACGCGGCCGGCGTGTCGACATTCATACACCTGCCCAGGTTCTGCTCTCTTCTCATCTTATTCATGGGAGGGCCGGCCCCTCTTTAGCCAACGTTTGCGCATGCGCGCGGACATGCAAATTCCCAGCTTCGGCTCATCCCCCCCCCCGTCACACCCCCCCCCCCCACCCCCGTTAATAGAGCCTCAAAAAAAAACTACTACACCCCTCCAAAAACTGGGAGGGGAAGGACATGGACCAATTTCTTGCATTCTCTCTCTCTCGTTCTCTTGCTCGCTTCCTCGCTCTCTCTGTCTCTCTCTCTCACCGGCTTTCTCACCACATCGGCAGCTCGCACACAGCCTCGCATGAAAACGAATTCGCAGTGCCCGAGCGCCGTTCTAACTCGTCGCAATGAAAAGAAAAACGTCAATCGGCGTTGCGCCGCCGCCGCCGCCGCCGTCACCGTCAGACAGAGGGAGAGACGCGTGCCGTGGGGTGAGCGGCGGGCGGTAGCGGCATCGCTCGGGCCAGCGAACGCGAACGCGGCGCGGCGATGGGCCCCCGGTCCCATTTATTTACTCGCGGTTTTTTTTTCGTAAATATTTTACAAAGTGTGGCAGATAATTATAGCCGCACGGGAGGGGAAGATGGCAGGGGGGTTGGGGGGGGGACAAGAAGGAGGATGGAGCAGGAGGGGTCGAATATGTGACGTTACCTAAAGACTAACGATAACGCTAATCAGGGTAATTAAACGTACGTATTAGATTTGCATCGACTCTGCGCGTAAAGGCGCATGACGGTTCAGGTTCACGGCGGCAGATTTGAGCATCGCTTCAAATGCCCTGCCGAACGAACGTCTGTTTTCCATACTGCCGTGCAGACCTGCCCAGCGTAATACTTTACTTGTACAAAGTACACGCGATATGATAATAACAACAACGCAGCGTAACGCACGTACTTAGCTTCCAGGCGCGCGGAAAGTATTGAGTTGAATACGTCATCCGTCGTGTCTGTCTGTCTGTGTCTGTCTGTCTGTCTGCCTCTGTGTTGTTAACGCTCGGTCACAGCCGCGGTCTCACCTCTCGCCTCGTAACACCCCCCCCCCCCTCTGTCTTCATCGAGGAGGGCCGCGTGTTGCGAGCGAACAACGATTTGATGGGCCAAGCCCCAGGTTTGCTTTCTAAAGGAGACGGACGGGTGAAAAGACAGGGAACTGCGGCCCGATGTGACGCGCGCGTCACAATGCGCGCCGTTCTGCGAGAAGGCGCTCACAGAATTATACATGTAACGGCACACATCAGCTGTGCATTGATTTCATTCCCGATGACACGCTTTAGACGATGGACGCGGACGCGACGAGCGAGAGAGAGAGCGAGAGAGATAGCGAGCGCCTCGGCCAAGGATGACATTTATGGAGGTTTTTCTGAATAGCAGGTCTGTCGTCCTAAGTAAACCCGGCGCGGCAAGCTATACATTTCTGCGGGTCGTTTGGTGTGCGCTGGCGTCTAATTATTCAATACTTGAGCGTAAACAATGATGACGAATTGCGTCGCCTGATGAAGATTGCTTTATAAGTCACCGATAATATGCGTGTGTTTTGGCACGCGCGCGCGCGTGTGTGTATGTGTATGTATATGTGGCGGTGGTGTTGGCACTTGTGCCAAAAGTGGGTGATTTCCTTGGGCTAATTAAGCGCTAATAGCATGGGCATTGCGCATTAAATCAGACCTAATGCGTTCATTCTATACACACAGAGTTTGTGCCTTTAATTTATGTGTAAACACCGCGAGAGTTGAACGAGTGCCCTCGGTGCGGCGTCGCTATAATTTTACGTGATTGACTTGCAACAACAAAAAATGTGGAATGCAATATGGAAATATATATATTTTTTACGTACTGGCTATTAATTAGTTAACTCGCGAACAACAACAAAACCCAATGTAACAGCAACAACAACAACAACAAACCACGAGCCGATACGTGCAATTGCGCCGGGACCTTTTGGTTTCGGTGTTAAAAAATTGACAATCGCGCTCTCTCCCAAGGGATCCGCGACGCCGACAGGAGCCACAGTTTTCTTTTTTTTTAAATGAAAGCGGTTTAAATATGAAAATTATAATTGATCATCTTAACAAAGTGAATAATTTAACTTTGGCGTCACGGACTTCTTTATTAATCGGGCGCTCCGCCTTACATTGTAATCTAATATATCGTGTTAGTGCAAATAAGGGCGTTAATTATACAAACAGATTAACATAACGCACCTATTGGGTTAATGGTATGCGCTGCGTTAATACCGCGCCGCTGATGAGACGACGCAACGCCGTCAGAGTTGGCGCAATGCGCGAATGTTTGTTGTTGTTGTGTTGGTTATTTATTCGTTCTCCATCGGTGCTACAGTTATTCGTTCACCTTCTTGCGTTCCTGCAAGCATCCGAGTCGACGAGTGTTTTGTACATTTCGCAACTGTGCTTTCTCTCTCACCCCCTCCCCCCCCCCCCCCCAATATTCGCAACAGATATGTGAAACCCCCTTTTTTTAGCCAGTATCGCAATAGATTTACGACCAAACGAAACACAACACAGGAGCCAAAAGCAAACCCCGGGCTTTGCGTGTCCTCTGATATAGATATCTGAGAATGCACACAGAGTGTGGAAAGGAGGGCATTCATCAGAGGTGAAATTCGTGCGTGCATGGTCTACTTGCGTGGGTGCGTAGATGGAAGAGAGATGGAGAGAGCGAGCGAGCGAGAGAGAGACAGAGAGAGAGAGACAGAACAAAAAAGGCGCTCATTAAGCCGAAAGCAGACACATTATCCCGGACCAGGGAGGAAAGCCTGATGGCTGATGCGCCGGCAAGATGTCACGCGCCAATGCATCGAGCCACTTTGGCGCTCCCAGAGCGGCCCAGGAAAGACCTGGGAGATGTCACCGGTGGGCAGAGGAAGCTTCGCGACTCTGAAATTGGCTCCCATCCACCACCACCACCACCTCACTCTCCTATTCCCTCCCCTACCACCACAGCATCACCCCCCCCCCCCCACCAACACCACCCTCCACCACCTACCCCGGCCCCCCTTCCCCCTAAAAGAGAGAAAGAAAATATATTAATAAAACACCTGCCTCAAAGAAATGTTGTCACCTACTCACCATCCCCTTCCACCCCCCAACCCCACGAGACTCCGTCACTGGGGACGAAATCTCTGTCTTGCCTCGTGTCGCAGCCAGCTCTGATTTATGATAAAATTTTAACGCCGCCTTTTTAAATATTTCACGTGCTCTTAATCGGCGCATGAAATTTTTATTTATACGTATATATAGAGTTGAGAATCGAGCTCCAGAGGACCCAGCGCGCGCGCAGCTAATTAATAGATTTGTCTGTTGTTACGACGGCAGAAGACACGCTGGGGCTTAATTAGATAGACACTGGAAACGCGTGCGCACAAACGGATCAAACTTTGCCGGGGTTTTTTCTCGATTACGTCCGATGTCCATGAAGCTCTCCCTTCCTCCGCTAATAGATCGCGGTTACAGCGTCGTTTTTGTTCAGCACACAGAGCGACGGCGATTCAGCGTGCGTCCCCGTGCGTCCACGTGCGTCTCCGTGCGTCCCCGTGCGTCCCCGTGCTTCCCCGTGCGTCCACGTGCGTCCCCGTGCGTCTCCGTGCGTCTCCGTGCGTCTTCGTGCGTCTACGTGCGTCCACGTGCTTCCCCGTGCTTCCCCGTGCGTCCACGTGCGTCCACGTGCTTCCCCATGCTTTCCCGTGCGTCCATGTGCGTCTCCGTGCGTCTCCGTGCTTCCCCGTGCGTCTCCGTGCTTCCCCGTGCGTCCACGTGCGTCCCCGTGCGTCCCCGTGCGTCTCCGTGCTTCCCCGTGCGTCCCCGTGCGTCCACGTGCGTCTCCGTGCTTCCCCGTGCGTCCCCGTGCTTCCCCGTGCGTCCACGTGCGTCCCCGTGCGTCTCCGTGCGTCTCCGTGCTTCCCCGTGCGTCCCCGTGCGTTTCCGTGCTTCCCCGTGCGTCCACGTGCCTTCCCCGTGCGTCCCCGTGCGTCCCGTGCTTCCCCGTGCGTCTCCGTGCGTCCCCACATGGCCCCGTTCGTGCCCTGCGTATGCGCGGGCACGTGCGGGCCCCGCGTGTGTGTGCACCCAGAGGCCGTGTGCACGGCGCGTCCTGCTGTGAACGAGGTTGCGCGTGGAATGCACGTGGAGCGGCAACAGCGTCTCGAAACAGGTAACACAAACAAACACAAACAAACACAAATAAACACACATAAACAAACACAAACAACGCGCGTCCGCACGCTCCGGTGCGTTCTGTCTGCGTGCGAGTGAAATGCGCGAGTTGACGGCGTTCGAGTCGCGTGTCACAAAGCAGCGCACACTCGCGATAATTAGGGGACACGCGCGCGCGACGTATGGAGTGTGTGTGTGTGTTTTGTGTTTGTTTGAAACGAGCAGCCCTGTAATTTACGAGTGTTTGTTTTCTTGAAAACTACTGCCGATAATCTCCATTTAGGAGGAGGAGTTGGAACAACAGGGACTTAAAAAAACGGGGAACAAAAAAAAAGGCAAACATCCTCTCCGTTAGAAACGGCGGGGGGTTTTGTCCCCCCCCCCCACACCCATCCCCCTCTACCCCCCACCCCACAGCGCTCCCCACCCCCGCCTCTCTCCACCCTCTCCGCATTGTTCACGCAGTTAATTAAAGGCATCAAATATTCATGCCTTGTTTTACCTGGGCGCGCGCGGCCCGCCTCCATTACCAAGCGCGAGGGCGAAAGCCCCTATAGGCTCCATATGGCCGGCCCATTTGCGAGATTAAGCCCGCCACGTGCCGCGCCTAATGCCTCGCTGGATGCGCGGCCTTAATCTGTGGGTAGCAGTCACCACCAGCCTTGCACCCACCCACCCACCCACCACCATCGCTACCGCCCACGCAAAAAAAAAAATGCTCAAATTTCCAACTTTGCGCACCTTTTTGGAGAAGAAGCGGCGTCTCACGCGTTAATGGGCGCCCCTCCCCCCCGCACCACCAAAACGCCACAAAATGCCCCCCCCCACCCTCCC